TGAACGGTCTAGTGAATAGAACAATAACTGAAAACACGGGCCTCTGATGCAATAACTGTGATGTCCGCTTAAACGCTGAGATGAAGAATTCGAAGAATAATTTGGCTGGTTCGGCGCATGAGAATAAGTAGCTAGCTGGGTCACAAAAATTAACCTGAAATGTTGATGTGACAATCACAATGACGATGAGGCCCGAAACGAAACAGTGCATTTGATTCTCTTGGGAATCGTACCCTTGTACTGACCTCATTACATCTCACTGTGTTTGGATAGTAAGAAACTTAAAGATAACCTCCACTGACTTGAAGGTTGCCAGTGATTCGACCGATCGTTCCTGAACGTGACGAAAACTACCTTTGAAGCGTGAGAAGGAGGTCACTATAAAATTCTGATACTTCAATACAACGACTTTGCGGATGTGCAAAAGTCTACGGAAAACATTTCATTGAGTTTGCAGTAACCAGTGAGAAGCGCCAGAGTAGCCATATTTCCCCATCATTTCTTAACTGTGGGATCGAAATGATCATGAATGATTCTCTCCTACTAGGATCCAGTTTTGCGCGACAGATTCTCTCAGGCGACCGTCAGGGTACGCGGATGACAAAGTTCGGTTTGGACAGTACGCAGCTGTCATACAAAAGTTGCTGAACATGATGATGGGTAGCGCTGCTTAGGGTACAAAGCATCGCAACAGAACCGGGCCGACGCGACACACGTTTTCACAAGTACCGTGTACTAAACACATTAAGAGACTGTTCATGTTCAGTCTATGAAGTCTGCGACGTAGTACTCACACCATGTGGAAGAATCAAATGTCCACCAATAAAGCTCGTCACTAATTGACTGTTAACAGAGGTTTCGATGCCATATTTCAAGCCGTTGACAGGGCCTGCAAATTCGGCCGTTGCTGGTCTTGTTGGAAGATATGTTACACTACTGGCTGCGGATGCTATACTTCATTTGTAACTTTGAGCCAATTTGTTGTTTCTGATCAAGTCTCAAGGTCAATGTTGTCCTACTTGGTCAACCATTGGGAAAACGTTACGTGTTACTGCCTTAAATCCGTGCTTCATTGAATATGGTCATAAAGTCAGGGACACCTTCAAACGAATTAGGATTAAATGTCTTGGGAAAAAGCGAAAGCATCGTGCTGACTGGCAATCTGGCCTCAGTCGTTGTTCTGTCAACAAAGCGAAAGTCCCACTAATACTTTCCAATAACGTTCGCTCGCCTCCTCGTAAAAGCAGTGATCTCAATGTCATTATGTAGCGAAATGAGTGTGGTAATACAGGAATCATTCTGTTACAAGAAAGCTGATTGTACACTGATGTGGAAAATGGGGTAATTCAACTCGATGGTATTTTCCCATCAGGTCTGAACGCCACGGAAAGCCCCGGTTTCCTGTTGGTGGCGTTATAACACGTTAAGCAAACTTGGTACAACTCAGCAATCGTAATATTCCCATACTCAATTATCTCTATAAGCTGCCATTTAGTTGAATACAAACCGAAGTTCTTAAGTGGCCTTCAATCAGTCACCGCTGGAAACGTATACATTGCTCTTGACAAATCTGCATTGGAGTTAAAGCTATTAGAGGACCAAGTTCCTTCAACGCTACTGCTTAACTTAGGTTGTTCTATCTGTATTGTTGCTGGCGAATTCAATAGAAAGCATACATTCTTGAAGACACTTGGCTTGGTAGACCTAATGACTGTTTCGAGCAGAAACGATGCCACTTGGACGCTGTGTTCAGAAACAAACGACAGTTGTTTGCCATAGAAAGGCGGGCTCCTTTGAGCACCTCAGACTAGTGTACTTTAAAACTGTGTCCAGTCATATACAGCAGGTGTAATATTTTAACGCTAACCAGGAGTTATTACAAGATTATCAAACGGCTCCTTGGAAAATATCACGAGGCTCCAGACAATGTTTCCGTTAACTGAATTTTCTCTCTTCAACGATGAGGACCCGTTGCTCGAATGTAACCATCTTACGGACTACATCAAATATTGCCATGTTGAAACGATGTACCTAAGAGCAGATAGATTTTCATCACCACTACTAAAGTGACTTCGAAGGATGAAAGAATGGGCTTACAAGTACAAGAATGCTACCCTGTCAAAAGCGTAACCACAGCAATTGCATCAGAGATAAAAAGGTTAAACCGATTATACGTCGAAGCTGTTCTAGGTAACCATAACTGTCGCGAACTATGAAGGCTTCTGAGGCACCTATACTGTAAGAGCGTTTGCAGCCAGAGCGAGGGAGTGGAGGTGGATAAACTGGATTCTGTGTTTAGCTCCGCCTCACTAGGCTCATCTTCCTTGCCCCCCTTCATGAGCTCAAGTCCAGCCGCGCCCTTCAATCAAAGCAACGTTCACAAGGAACTCAAAAGAGTAAGGGTAACCAACATCTGTGGTCCGGATACTCTCTCACGATTAGCTTTGAAGGAGTGTGCTGATTCTCACATACTGCCTTTAACAGATCTCTTTAACAAATGCCTCACTACGAGTGTGATCCCGAACATTTGGAGAACGGCTAGTATCACTCCAGTATCAAAAACTGGATCTCAAAAGTATCATCCGATTGCATGTACATCTGTGCTCCTAAAAGTTTTCGAAAGACGGTTAATTCCGCGGATTTGTTCAGTCGCTCCTGAGGACGAAATCTACCAGTTAGCGTATAGACCCCAGCGCTCCACATTGGATGCAGTGGCATATGTTGTTTATTCTATAACCGCTGCATTAGATCAAAAATGTAAATCCGTACGGCTTCTCTTCCTGGATTATTCGAATGTCTTGGGAAGCCTAGATAGGTCAATGTTTCTAAACCTGCTATCCGAAAATGGAGCTCATCCGGGTGTGTCTAATCTATTACGTGACTTACGGATTGTACTCACTTCACCAAGTTGAACGGTAAAAAAATCCTCTGTCCTCCGTGCCGACTGTGATATTCTGCAGGGAGCGATCCAATCACCTGCACTACTTTCCTTGTATGTAAATATGCTGATGATGTTGTGCTGGGATGTATGGCCCCCAGTATCCAGGATTCTTCATCACCTCAACGTGGGTTGGAAGATCTAGTGGAATAGTCTGCAATCAGATCTATTACGCTTGATGCATCTAAATGCAGGGATGTAATATTTTCTTTTCTCCGGGACGATAATTTGCAGTCCCTCGTAAACTTCTCTCCCACCGTTACTGTGAATGAAAATCCCATACCCAGCTCTTCCACCGTAAAGTATCTCGGTGCCCTTTTGTCCCAGAACCCTTTCAAAAAGACTGAAAACTTTCGCCTTATGTCCTCAGATTTAGGGTGCTTTCACTACCTCGTACTTTAATATTCAGGTTTGTGACGTCTTGCATTATTTCCCACTGGCTATACTGCTCTCTTGTCATTTTCCATGGATTGCTTCAGAAAGACTACATCTTACTGGTGCGATCTATAAAGCACATTTCTAGATGCAGTGGCTTGTCTAGAGATTCTTTAGTTGATTTGATCATTTCTAGACATCTTGATGCCTGCAATGATTTTTCTTCTAAAATACTAATTGATCGATTTCATCTACTTCACAATGATATTTCCAAAACGCTCTCTTGCTCTACTACTCGAGCGAAATTCCGAATTTTATTCTCCCGCACGTCATCGTATCGTAATACTGGTTTGCCTTATCTTTCACTTTTGCTTGTTGACACAGCAAAAGTCACAAACATGCTGCGTGAGCGCTTGTTGGAGTAACAGTTCTGCTTTTTCCCACTTTTCTACCCAAGCATATACATTGAGATAATCATCCAGGTGCCTGCAGTGGGAGTGTAAATGCTGAAAATGAACCCATTAGGGTTCATACAGCTTATTTTGAGTTGACTTGACTTGAAATGTTTATTAAACTGTAATCAAACATGCTGGAAAAATGGAGTCCTCTGCATGCCTGTATGCCGGCTTTTTCGATGTGTATTGATTAGTAGTACCGCGCTTAGAGGAATAACTCCCATAGGTGGCGAAAAGGAATGAAAAATCACTGAAAAGTCAGACTTGGTTGGTACTTGTCGCTTTCTTGAATGCGGCCCACGGTCTAGTCATCTTTGTGGCTAGATCCCCTATCGGATATGGTGGAGCCGCGAACTCGATGGTGCCCATGCAAAAGTTTCTTCATTCTTGATGAACAACCGCTCCATCTGATAGCCCTAGTTTTTCTTCATTCTCATAAAATTATTATCATTACTATTACTATTCTCAGTGACAGTAGTAGTAGTAGTAATAATAATAGTAGTTTGGCGCCGCGGATCCAGTCAGCTGAGTCCAACATGATTCGGTGATCCGGTGAGAATTAACCGACGCAGATGAGCATCATGATACGATTTTTTCATCCTGCGCACAATGTAGGTATTCGTAAACCTGACCGACACTATTTATGTGCATCCCTATTAGCTTTGGGTGACTAATCTGAACAAACCATGGTGCCAAGAGAGAGAGAAGTCACCCAATGATCAGAGGTGGTAAATGCACACCACTAAGAAAATGCTGTGGGGCTATCCACTACATAGTATCACAGATGGATAAAACTGGGACACAAGATGCTGAAGTTGTTACTGGAAAAGATTACACATGTGACATGTCAAGCTATAGGACGTCATTTATGGCAGAAGCGATGCAGAGCAAAGTGCTGAAGTGAGGGATCAATGGTCAACTCTCACACGCCGGGAGAAAAGCGACGGATTGGGGTGTTACAAAGTATTACCTGGTGCAAACAAGTGCACTGAGTGACGCGCTGCTATGGCTTCCGATAGAATTAAAAGAAACTCAAGACGAGCAAAAGCGTGCGCGCAAATTACCAGCACCTGGTTACCTAATAAATTATCTATCATAATAATGATAGGGAAAACCAATTGGATAAATGTGTAGGCAATTATCGGCAAAGTACTAAACAGAATGGGAGGCATGATACGAAGAGATGGACGGGACAGTCATTCATTCGTAAAACATGGGACACATCAACGTACAGTGGCGTTCGCGTTCAATCGGTTGATCAGTGAAGTGATGATGAGAGAAGAGTCGTGACTGCCGGTCATGATGAAGCGCAGAAACAATTTGATTAACAACGGCTCCGTAAGACGGCGTAGGAACAGCTCGAGATAGGCCGTAGCAGCGACAACTTCATTTAACGCACTCTGAAATGTGGAACAGAAAAGAGCAAATCATTGGAAAACGTAAAAAAGGGATAGCATCGTTGTAAGTCTGCTCTACAGATAGTACCATGTCAATGGCTGATACTTTGTAGTCCGATTAGCTCAAACAAAGAAGCGTAAACAGTAAAAAGATAATGTTAACGTGTAGGTTGTTAAATGACTTAGAAGGAAGGGAACACGGATGAGGCACAAAGGCTCATGCCACTCGCGAAACGGACAGTTGGGCACAAAACGGATGAGGAATGCAAACAGACGATTGGAAAGGTCAATGCCACAAGGCAGCTAAGTTAGGTGGAACGGGTTAACTAAGACTAGTGGCGGCAAGAGGAAAAATAAAAAAATGAAAGGTATGGAGAGAAGACAATTTTTGGCAGATGCATGCATTTAGTATCGTGTTCAAAAGCAAGTATCGGTAATTCTCAGGTTGCCGCGGACGTAAGGAGGAGATTTCTGTACTTCCTTTTGTCTGTTTGTAAGTTTGTCTTCATCAGCTGACAAAAGGATATCATTTGCAGTTAGCGTTATCGGTACTGAAGAGAAGATCCGAAATGCATGCACCTGCCGGAATGCGGCATCTCAAAGTGTTGAAGGGGAATTGTGTTAAAAATAGCGTGGAGGAGAGTCCATGAAAAACTGTGGTCAGTCAGAACACATCCTGGGGGGATACGCTAAATCGAATAGGATGCTGGAAGACCTGAACCCGAGTAGAAAGTCATCAAGCGCAGAGAAAGCACTTGGTGTGCAAACCCTTGTTTGGGGGCCCCGCAGCAATGTGCACCAGTCACTGTACGGGAGTTGGAAGCAATGAACTCATAGTCGCAAAGGGGTGCGTTTGATTATCGGATCACAATGGGTGAAGGAAGCTGTTGTAAGTGGGCAACTCGATAGGGCATGACGCGATCAATATCGATAAGTGAAGAGTTGTAAACTGTGAGCGTCAATCCGTGTACATCTTTGCCATCTGATTGGCACTAATTGTGAGTACCACTAATCGGACCACATGACTCGAAAAAAAACAGTCAATCTTAAGTAACTGGCACTGCTATACGTTGTGTTCGCATGTGAACATGATAGGAATTTATATATATATATATATATATATATATATATATATATATATATATATACGGAAACCAAAGTTACGTTACCAGGACATCATTAAAGTGAGCCTCTCACGTTCTAATCTTGATTGCAGATCATGGGGATCGAAGGCGGTTGATCGGCGTGCATAGCGCGATCCAATCACGAAGGCAGTTGCCCAAGTGCGGGAGAAAGACCTCATACATGCAGAGAATAAGCGTCAAGTGCGGAAGCGGCAAGCACCGATGGGTTGTACTCCATCGACATCGAGCGCATGGTGCTGTAGCACATGCGGTCGCGAGTGCCTGAGTCAGGCAGGCCTAGTGAGCCATGAGCGAGACCACTCGGGACCACTACCAAAGCGACGACGGGTTCTGCAGAGAACGTAGGCAAAATCAACGCGGCGTTTGTAGGTACGCTGTATTCGATTTACTAACGGCGTGCTTACATGCTAAGTCTCTTTATTTCAGGTAATGGGTTTTCAAATTTTGTTCTAATGCTTTTCTTCCTCATATACATGCTCACCTGTACTCTCTTCCATTAACTTGCACACCACGCTTAGGCCAATTGTAGACGATTTCCATAACATTGTTGTGTTTGTGGCATTTCCGTAAAATATACTTTCTGACCTCGTGAACTTATCTCGGATTCGTTTGTAGACAACTTATTTGATATGATCATTAATTTAAGATTTATGTCACTGTTCCCTTATGCAATAATCGAGCTATATTTTTGTTAGCTTTCTATCAAGTGATTGGCTGTTGCTTAATATCCCCCGTGTGGATGCGCATGATGTGCATGTTGACAAGGTGCCTACCTGTCTATTACCCACTACCTCGTCCATACTGGCTCCAGGAGACAGTTGGTCGTTGCTAGAGGGGACAGGGTGCACGGTCCTTGTGGCTGTGTTAGGATCAAAAGCTGAGGAGACTATAATTTTCAGGACCTATATATATATATATATATATATATATATATATATATATATATATATATATATATATATATATATATATATATATATATATATATATATATATACCCCATGCTGAGGCTAATGTTGCATTCTTGATGCTTCTTCACCGCAGTTGGGCTAAACCAACTTACACTTAAACTAGGTCTTTTTAAGCTGGATAAATTTCATTCCACTTTATTTGGTTTGTTCTGCGTACTTGATAATCTTCTCCCAACTTACACACGTCGCGCATGCAAATGGTGGTAAACTTGCGTAATTTTATCGCGTGGTATTTTTTAAATATCTTTCAAATTTTTTGTACTTATTGCGTATTCACATTTAACCAATTTCTTCCGTATGCTCATTTGGCGAGTATTTATGTCGTCATATGCGTTTACTTTATTCGATATCGACACTTCGGATGATTGGCTGTTGTTTGACATCCCAGGTGTGGCTGCGCTTGATGTGCATGTTGACAAGGTGCCCACCTGTCTATTACCCACTACCTCGTCCATACTGGCTCCAGGAGACAGCTGGTCGTTGCTGGAGGGGACGAGGTGCACGGTCCTTGTGGCCGTGTTAGGATCAAAAAGCGGTTCCATGCACTCTGTGTGGAGCGGACTACGGTCCAGCCACCGCCTTGTGTGCGCTTGATTCCCCAAGTACAGCGTGCTTGTGTTTGCCTGTGAAGGAGTGTGGGCCGGCTCCGTTGATGAAATGTGGCTCCCATCCGCATGCCTCCAGGTCTTATTCCTTCGGGTTTACACTGGATATGGGATGGAACTGTGGGTGGTGCAGCGCAAGCCACCCATGGTCCCTCTGTAGGCGCAGGCGTCCTGTGGCTGGCCACAGTGACAAGCAAATCCGAAACCGGATGCCGCCAACCATATAGTATCGCGTATAAGCGAAGCATGCAAGCATTAATTTAATCAAGACAATTATGCAAATTCGTTTAGAGTGATAGGGACAAAGAAAGTAAAAATCCCGTCAGGATTCTGCGCGTATGATCTTTTTGTGCATCCACAATATGGCCAGAGAACAAAACATCCAATGAGCGATACGTAAAAGCAAGGGTGATGGGCAAGCGAGGTCATCTTCGCAAACGTTAGAGGTTGACACGTGACTAGAAAGCAAGAAAATCGAGACGAAGAGCAGCAAAAACGTGTCAACATCGCAGAGGTTTAGTGAAATACGACCCCTACTTGGTGCAGAGCCGAACCGAGGACGGGGACGAGAAAAGCGGAACTGATGAAGTATAGCAATTGATCCCGGATGTTTGGGTGAGCTATCTGTAAGAAAGTGAAAAATGTAAAAAAGATGCAAGTATTCGGAAAACTAAAAAGCTGCTTGTATAATTGCCACTCAGGCTACTTGGATGCAGATGAGCAAAAAATGATAGCTCCAGAGAATAATAACGGAATCCGGAAATGGTTCACCACGCTCACCTTGACGACTAGATTACAAAAATCTAGCGTATGAAGAATCCGGCGCAGATCTGTCGATTGGCTCCACTCCGCTTCGGATAACTGATGCCAAGCTGCTCCACCAACTGGGAGCTCCACAACGCACGGAGCTGAGGAATTAGGAGCTAGATATGCGGGTGTTTTCATGGTGACAGGGCCGCCTGGAGAATCCAAATCGGTGGGACACAAATCGTACCGAGGAACCAGCCTCTTGGGTAAGGTGGAGTATAATCCACTCAGGCTGGAGGCGAGAACCTGAGAGTTAATTGGATGAAAATACTCAAGAGGTAAACAAAACGCAAGGAAAAAAGAATGGAGACATTGAGGCCTGAGCCTGGTTGTCGTTTTGTCGAATGTGGACCACAGGGCCCATCAAGGCGGTTGCTATCACTACTGTCTGGAAAGAGCAAGTTAATAATAATAATAATAATAATAATAATAATAATAATACGTATATTTCACTTAAAGTGAGGAGCTATGTCCATATCTGGCACAGACCATACATGTACATAGTACCATGCTCTTGCATGAGCAGTATGAAGTTGTGACGAATAAAAAACAACGGTACATTTCTCGTCGGTGAGAGGTACAGTCCAACTGGATGTTATGAATTTGGGTGTACGGTGGAATCGTAAGGAGCATATGTATTGTTTTCGAATTTTTTAAAGCAGTTCTCAAGCAAATTTTGGTGGGCATGACTAATTGATCAGTTAAAACTTTCGGGAAGACTGTGAAGTTGTTAAAACTAATAAGTGTAGATAACTCCCAATGTATAAGTGAAGTAATACGGCTATCCATGGAACTGTCTCCTGGGGACCTGCTTCCATGCGGGTTATTTCTTCGATGGGTTTCATCCGCACATCTATGCCCCATCTCGACGTGTGCCGGTGTGGCTTGTAAAGCATGCAAGTCATCACCTATGTGACTCAACTTTAGGGCTGCTTTTATGTGTATTAACGGCACTATTACGTGTACCGGCTTGCTTTCATACGTGAATCGTTTAATTTGACAATGCTGTTGTTTAATGCACCATTATGCCTGTCCTTTTTCATCGCGCTGTTAGACGAGTTCCAGTATCGCCAAGTTTTTTGACACCACTGTGTCCCGATGCACGTAAATATCCGAAAACGACTGAGAAAATGAGTAAAACTCAGTGGCAGGTCATTGAACGTCGTCCACCTGAACATCAGATAGGGGTTAATTGGGAGTCGGTGCGATGAAGGTTTTCACAGAGTATGAAAAAACATCAGAAAGTAATCTGAGCAACCAGAAGACGGATCCCCGGAATCAAACATACTGAATGGTGATTATTCAGCAAAAGAATCAAAGACTGATAGTCGATTTGGTAATAATAGCATCACAAAATTTCGAGCTCACGTCTGACAAAAACATCAGGCAGCAAGGAAATACAGTGGGGGATTTGAAGATCCTAAAGAAGGTTCATCACATCTAGACACAGCCGCATAGCTATCACACAATTAAGAAAGCAAGAAACGAACGCTTCGTCTTGACTACAGATAAGGCACGTAGATCGCGCTGTGGTCAACCATCGTCCAACGATGACCTGTACATCGCAAGGTCGGGGACAAGAATCCAGCAGAAATCGAAAAAAACGCGTATTGTTGAAGAGTTACAATGGGACAAAACGAACGCCCTGTTCTGTTTCGTATGTGCAGTGGTTATATGGCCGAGACTAGTAGTGACAAATTAACGGGATACCAGATAGTCGCCGACCTGTAATCGGTCAATAGTCACCTATCGCAATGAGGCGGGACCTTACCGTGGTGCGATGGTTTGTGTACCTCAGTGATCCATTGAGCAATGTTGGGTGCTGCTCTTGTACTTTCAAGTCAATCATACCATACTAATCAATGGTTAGAGGTCAGACAAATTCAGCCTCCTGGTCCTCCAGGTTGGAGGTTGGAATGAGAGTGGCACGCTATTCTTTAAAACGGACTCCTTGTAGCCCAACGCCAAACCCGCTGCCTTGCGGTAAGGTTTCTGAACCAAAGGCTTTGGTTAAGAACCCTAATCGTTCTCCTGTCTAGGCCTGGGCCACCTGACAGTATCCTGCACACGCAATACTATGAATCATTCGTCAAACAATTTCTTGATGCCCTGGCCACCGCAGAGGATAATCAACGGTGCAATATCTGCTGCATCGATCAGGGTGGATAGGGGTTTGATGCTACTGCTCAAACATACCCGTCTTCTTATTCACCTCTTACGCATTTTCACTCTTACCGTCCAGTTCCAACTTCACTTATATCTCCCAGTTTCCAACCCCAGAGATTCTTGGCCACCCCCAACATCCTTTACCAGGCATTTATCTTCTAATTTCAACTCACATGCTAACGCGGAGCGTCACTTCTCTCCCGTCGACAATCCCATGTCCAACCAAGCAGTACATTCCAGTTCATCGGCTTCCATTTGGAGCCCTCGATCATCCTGCAGATTGACAGTACTACAGATCGGTCAACAGGCAGCACATGCCCGCACATTAGAGACCCTCTCAGTCGATATCGGCTGCTTATCAGAGACCCGGCTGCAAGATCCGAGCTCTGTGTACACTCCGCGATCCTCTACAGGTGACGCAAGCCATAGCTTCTCAGTGCGCCTACCCGGCGATGACGCAGCTTCGAGCACCGGCCAAGCTGGTGTTCGCACAGCTCTGAGTCCCCAGGCTGAAGCTGCTCTGGTTGACTGGATCCCAATCAGCAGCCGGTTGTGTGCGGCCCGATTGGCTGGCTCGTTCAAAGCTTCGAAGTCGCACGGGACTAACAGGTGTCTATTCATCATCGCTGACTATGCACCCACAAATGCTAGCGAGGATTCGGTAAAGAACAACTTATACTGCCAATTGACGCAGCTCCTTCGACACAGAAGAAGCACGCACACGGTTGTGCTGGCGGAGAATCTGAACGCTCAAGTTGGAAAGTTGTCCAGTGATGAAATGCAGCTGGGCGGTCAGCACGGTGTAGGCTCCCGTGGTGATAACGGTGAGTGGTTACTTCATTTGTGTGAAGCTGCTCGCTTATTTCTTGCGAACACTAATTTCCGACACGGCACCCACAGCAGAATGACTTAGCGCCAACCAGCCTCGAACCAGCTATGGACGCAGATCGATCACATTGCTATCAGTTACCGCTAGAGAGGCTGCGTCCAGAACTGTCGCTCAATTTGGAGTACATGTGTGGACACCGATCATGCACTTTATGTGCTGACCTGCGGATGCGTTTTGGCGGACGGCCAAGACAACCTTATGAGCGCATTGACATCAACCAACTGGCGAAACCAGCTGTTCTAAATGCATATCCAAGTACGCTGTCATGCGAGTTGAGTAAGCGCCCACTGGAGACAATTGATGGTCACTGGTCACATGTTCGCCAGACCTTACAAGCAGCAGGCAAATCCTCATGTGGTAAGTCTAATCGCCAACATGGACATTGGGTCTCTTCACAGTCTCTGGAACTTATCGATGCTCGCCGGCATATCTCGGCTGGAAACGAACACAATGAAACTCACAAAGGTACGAAAGCACCACCCAGAATGGCTCAATGGATCTCTGAAGCACGCAAATCATAGCACCGCGGTTAGGTCCAGTCTCATTGTGATGCGGTGCGTGAGATAGTGGTGCTGTAAGGTTCACACACTATTCCTGCACCAAATAAACGTCGCCGAACAGGTTCACTGCTCACGCGGTGATCCCACCCGACATGAGCTAACCTGCGTAGGCAGCGATGCCCAAACGTGATTAGCCTCTTTATGTCTGTCGATTTGATGTGCTAGGTTTCGCAAGCACACAGTAGAATTGAACGGATGGCTGCATTGTACACTCTACTCTTCAGGAAGAGAATGAGGTCACGCCGGCGCCACAGGTGGCGGAGATTGACAAAAGCCCCTCCAGCTTTTCATACATGCTGTTTGTGATTTCATCTTCCATTCCACATGCGTTCATACAACTGTCCAAGTAACTGAATTTTTGAAAGACTTCAAACAGAACCCCACCAAGGGACAGCGCAAGACTGGGTCCATAACAATCTTGGAGAAGGACGATGCACTTCGAGGGTGTAAAGCAAAGCCTGAAAGGACTGACAGCCGATGCTAATTTGTCCAGTGTGATTCGACATGTTTGAAAGCTGCCAGAGATAAGAGCAAAGTCGTTGGCGTATTCCAAGTCAAGAGGGTGTTCACCTGGGAGCAGCTCCACTCGCCCGCATACCACTGTGCAGACGTACAATTATAAAGTATTGCAAGGATCTGTTTGGAGTCGGTCCCACTCGACTCTGGGCCGTATGGCTCGACACGGTCACCAGAAGTCATCTAGTGCTAAATTGGCGTTAGCAATTCACAGTTTGGGCACTCATTCCCGTGCCGATCGAATTGATCCCATAACCCCGTACTATTCTCTGCTGATTTTCGAAGGAATGGAGCCGTCGACCATCATGTAACTTTCCAAATGGATGGTTGAGATAAGTCACTGTTAGGTCGTGAATTGAGATAGGCTTTATCTTGCCTATTACTATTAACTGATTCGGTGTGAGTGACCTTGGTGGCACTTTAGAAATGTCACTCATCCTCACCCATTCAACAACAGAACTATCCTAACCGTTGAACCACTTTTGTATCTGGTCTCATTGCTGCGGGATTCCATGTTACCCTTTTCATAATCATTGTGCTCTTTTGCTCGTCGCTTTGTCAGCAATAGGCGTTATCTGGGTCGCAGGTTGACATAGTAACCCACTGGGTCCAGTTTGACATCCATACGTACCATCTCGCAGTATCTATGCGGGTTTCACAGCCCTGTTTCTTTCACTTTGAAACGCATCATTCGCTGAATTACGAGCATGATATTCAAACTACGGTAACGTTGGTCTCCTGTAATTATTTATTTTACTTTTCGAATTCCAGATTTGTTATAATCACGCGAACTTCTGCACGCTGTTGCTACCACTCTCTCATAGAGTTTTGCGTTATCCACCTTCGGAATGGATCCTGTAGAATATTTTGACCACCTTATATTGTAAGAAAATAATACCTCATATGTGCAGATTTCGTAATTCGGAGTTTCTGACTAGCTATTTGTCGGAAGAGCGCACGAAACTGGACCCGCTGTTAGACAACATAACTGTGGTTCTATCAGAGGCACTGAAAGATAGAACCATCTTCATCAGTCGCACAGAGATTCCTACCAAAATTGTAAGTTTCTTCTTTTATTTCTACCTTAAGCCCTAGAATAGCTTATCCGCTATTGG